AGCTGTGTGTGCTAAGTGTAGTGGAGGTATGAAAATTCAGCCCATAAAACTTCAAGTACAGGGTGATCCGGTCTTTCTTAAAAGACGAGTAATTCCTTATGGTCTTCGAGAAGCAGTACATAAGTCACTGAATGATTTGTGTGCGAAAGGTATAATTGAACCAGTTCAGTCCTCAGCATGGGGTACTCCTATTGTTACGCCATTGAAGTCGGATGGCAAGATCCCTAGAATATGCGGTGATTACAGATTAACACTGAACTCCCGTTTGTTGAAGCAAACATGCACGACGATGGAGGCTGAAGATGTTCTAAATCGACTTCATGGTTCTAAGGTGTTCTCGAAAGTTGACTTGAAAGATGCTTATCTTCAAATCCCTTTAGATCAATCTTCATCTATCTTGACAACAATTAACACTCCTTTTGGTCTGTTCAAATACAACTTCCTTCCATTTGGTCTTAGTTGTTCTCCAGCCATATTTCAAGAGGTCATGAATAAGATAGTCAGCGATATTGAAGGTGTTGAAGTTTATCAAGATGATCTCATTGTTCATGGTGTTGATAAAGTAGTTCATGACCAGAGACTTATTGCTTTATTGCGTCGTTTAATGGAGAAGAATATTACAGTGAATCCAAATAAATGTTCATTTAGTGTATCCAGTTTTGAATGCCTTGGATACCTAGTTGATGGTAATGGTTTTAGACCAGATATGAAACGACTAGCCCCACTGACAAATGCACCGTCTCTAAAAATATCACAGAATTACGTTCACTAGTGGGTGCTCTTCAGTACTATTCTCGTTTCATTCCTAATTTTTCTTGTCGTGCCAATTGTTTATTTAATATTTTGACATCCAACTCATTCAAATGGGGTGAAGAACAAAAGTCATGCCTACGAAGTTTGCTAAATTTTCTTCAAAGTGATGCTGTTCTTCAAACTTACTCACCCAGTGTACATTCTGTTCTTATTACTGATGCATCACCTGTAGGTATTGGTGCAGTTTTGGAACAGGAAGGTAGGCCAGTTATATGTGTTTCACGCAAACTTTCTGTTTCTGAACAAGGTTATTCACAAACGCAGCGAGAAGCGTTAGCTGTGTTTTGGGCTGTTAAAAGACTTTATAAATATTTATTTGGAAAGAAGTTTACCATTGTTACTGATCATGAAGCTTTAAAGTTCATTTATCATCCTGACAAATCCTTAGCACGTTCCTCAGCTGCTATGGTTCAACGATGGAGTATTGCTTTGAGTGCTTATGACTATACGATTCAGCACAGGAGTGCAAAACAAATTCAACACGTTGACTACATTTCTCGACAACCATTACAAGATAGACCTGTTAATACTTCAGACTGCTTGTTAGTGCAACCTTTACCGGTGAGACGTCCAGATCTCATTAGAGAAACTCGTAGATACTTTGGATGTATATTCAGTGCTATACGGAAGGGTTGGAATGCTAATTTGAAACGTAGATTTCCTGTCTATTATTCAAAGCGGGACGAGTTATCTACTACTCCTGACGGTATTTTGTGTTTAAATGATCGTGTTGTTATTCCTCCTTCATTACGCAGACCTGTCCTTGATGATCTTCATAGTGGACATCTTGGTGTTGAGAAAATGAAGTCCTTAGCAAGACTCACATGTTGGTGGCCAGAGATAAATGTAGATATATGTCGTACAGCAAACAATTGTGAGAAATGTCATAAGCTAAAAAGTCTGCCTTCGAAGTGGACTCCATGGCCAGTTTCGTCTGAGGCCTGGCAGAGAATTCATGCAGACTACTGTGGTCCATTTCTTGGCAAATACTATGCACTTGTAATTATTGATTCTTTTTCTAAGTGGCCTGAAGTTTTTTTCACAACTTCACCGAATTCTGACTTCACAATTCAAGCATTAAGGAAGGTGTGTAGTCGAGAAGGAGTTCCCATGGTGTTGGTGACTGATAATGGCTCTCATTTCGCTGCAGATGCAGTCACTAATTGGTTAAATGGTATAGGGTGCAGACATCTGTTTACGGCCCCCAGGCACCCTTGTTCCAATGGTCAGGCAAAAAATTTCGTAAGAACATTGAAAATTGCTATTGATTCTATTGCTGCTTCGACATTTAATGAACTTGAGAGGGGAGTAGATACATTTCTACTTCAATATAGAAATGCTAAGCATTCTGTGACGAAAGAGACTCCATCAAAGCTATTAAAAGGAAGAATTCTCCGTTCGAATATGAGGTGTTTGGAGTCTGCAGAAGTTACATATTATCGTGGTAATGATCTTCGATCAGCCACGGGGATTGTGGTGAAGAATATTGGAAAATCTATGGTGCGAATTCTGGATATCAATGACTTGACTATACATAGCAGACATGTTGATCAAATACAATACCAGAATCCAGGTGAGTATGTTCCAATTTCGGTTGTTAATTCTAATACTAATGAGTGCATTCTAGATAATACAGAGTCTACATCCAGTACACCATCGGACAGATGCAAGATGAACTTAAGAAGAAGACGAACAATTGATTACAGACACTTACACTCCAATTCGAGCTGTGGCGGATGTGATGTTTAAATAAATCAATGACTTCTTCGTATCGATGACTGTTGTAATTTTGAATTCCAAATACAATACATTCATTCGGGCTCATCTGATACTTCTTGATTAAATCGCGTTATTCCTATGATTACTAGTTTATACTACAATTCAAATACTTCTAATTATCATAGTTTCTTCATCACTTGTTCACTCACCAAACATCCTAAAACCTCGTCAGTCTAAGTGAATGTTTAGTGACACAATCATGCATGCGAATCATCAGTATAAACAGTCCATCAAATCTCCTGCAAACTAAAAACATCACTTTCGAATTTACTTTAACACTGACCGAGGTTCATACCATTATCATAGACATGAGATAGGAGTTGAACTCCTCGTGGTTACAACCTATGTTCTCTCTGGTAATCTCATGAGCATCACTAGCTATTTATCATCCAGCAAAGATTTATTTAGCTGGAAGCATTGTGCAACTTAACATCGCCCTTATTTATGACATACAGGCATTGTTGATTTCATTAATTTTTAACCCCTATATTTAAAATAGATAGTTTTCTACCATATACTAAAATTCCATACTTCCAACTAACTTGTATGCATCGACAGCCTGTAGGTATAAATATATACGATTAGTCCATTGCAAATCAGAAGATTGAGCCTGGAGTGTGTCTTCCGTGGATGCACTCACGTCCGACGAACTACCATCAAACGTCTGTCCTAACTTCACATAATTATCTGTACCGAATATATTTTGATGAAGGTTCATATATTAGTAGTGCTACTAAACCCTATTGCAGGTAAACAATAATGAGGTCAAGAAAATCTCCTCTTTACTAAATAAACCGTATTAAACTTAACAAACCAACTGGGACAGTAGTTGGAATTTTTCCTCCCCATGGTTAAACTTTCGTTCTTCCAAGTAACCTAATGAAGAAGCATTCAGAAATCAACTCATACGAACAAAATACAGGCGTAAACATTAGCTGATCTTCCAACTTGATCCGAAGATGATACAAACATCAACATTTACTCAATACTGTTTATTTTAGAATTTATCACCAAAAGTTTTTGTACTGCCTATATGTTCAGCGGTAGTTACCAAGCATCTTAATGTAGCTTCTTAAAATAACTCCCTAATAAATTATTCTCAATTATTATAATCCCACCTTGTTTTTAAATATTGAGTAATCTTCACCTACATTTCTATTTTGCGAGTGTTAAGAAATAAACCAAACATTTAAAATCTATAACACGTATTTCCCGACCAGTTGTTGCTGCCTTATTTCAGTTTATCAATACCCGGGGGATTCTTATTATTCTTTTGGTAACCGTCGGTGCGTAGTAGTATAGTAGTAGTGTAGTGATATTGGATTCTAGCAACACAATCCCTAAAGCTGAACATGGGACAACTGGGAAAATAGGTATTCAACATTTAACACGGATAGAAGGTCAACAATGGTGAGCACGGGAACATTCAGTAGAATCAGATGACATGACAAACCTATAATTTTCGGATTAGGTATATTATTATGGCAGTACTAAAGCAGACCATAATTCTACAAGTTACCAGCGGGCTGGAAGAATACAGTAGTCACACCAATTCACAAAATAGGATCATGATAACTTCCGTCAAACTACAGATATATTAGCCCAACCAATGTCATAGTTAAAATACTGGTAAGGATATTAAAAAATCCATAATGATATTCGTCGAAACCAACAACTTGTTGAACAGTAAACAATATGGGTTCGGGAAATGATTAGCTAGCACAACGAATCTCCTTATCGAGAGAGAGCGATGGACAGAGGCTCTAGATAATAGAAAATCAGTAAATGTTGTCTATATAGACTTCATCACAGCACTTGGTAAGATACCAAAAATAGACTACTTTTGAAGCTGGAAAAACTGGGCTTAGTTGGGCCAATCGTAAAATGGAAACCAGTATAAAGTGGAGTTCTATATCACTCTGTCTTAGGTCTCTTGATTTTTACAGTGTATGTAAATGAACTCCAAAGTATAGTTGGGTCTCAAATGCTACTATACGCTGATAATGTTAAATCCTGGCGAAAAATAAAAAGAGATATAGATGCATGCACACTTCAGATAAGCTGGTCTAAAAAGTGGTTGATGCCTATCAACGCAACCAACTGTATCTACATACACTTTAGGGTTACAAAAATAAATAGATACAGCATATAGAAAGTGCCTGTACCCGTAGTCTGTTCTCACAAGGATCTTGGAGTGATGGTGAGTCATGATCATAAGATCACGGCCTACTGTTATGGGGTTGCAGCTATGGGGCTTAAAGCCCTATGTGTTTCAACAAGTTAAATAATATTATGTTCACTACAATATGCAAAACCTTAGTGTGATCTAAATTTAAATATTTTGATGTAATCATCACTATCAATAAAGAAGAGAATTTTTCAGTTTTCCAAAAACAATTTGAAATCAACTGAATCTCAGGGTCGCCTTCGGGCGTGTAACTGGCGGTTATTTCCATTCTGACGTATCTCCAACTCATCTATTAGAATCTCCTTCTGCTAAAATGGTAATCCTGATGGCATCCTCAATTGTTAATTTTTAGATGCAATTTTTGATCTTGTTTAGCCGTCAGGGAAAATTAAGGCTTCAGAAGTGGTATATTTCTTATTCTGAAAAGGAAAAGAGGAAAATCTTACGCGATCTCACTACAATTGTGCTTTCACGAAAGCCGAAAATGTGTTCGTTTATTGAATGGAAGGACTTGAAAGTTGTCTATCGTCGGCATGTTCACTTCTGTTTTATAATTGACGTTTTTAGTTATGCTAGTCTATACTTCTGTGCTGCAGTTGAACCCCAGGACAATGAGCTATTGACTTTGGAAATAATCCACAGATATGTGGAACTTTTAGATAAGTATTTTGGTAGCGTAAGTCTAACTTCTGGAGCTTTCATTTTATTTCAGTATCTTTTCATAAAATTGCATATGCAGTTTATTGTACTTAATGATCATCCATATTTTAGTCGTATAAATAAAATAAACCATCAAGACGTTTCAAACGACCCTAGTTTTGTACTTGTTTGAACTCATACCAATTGTAAAATTTCTCAATAAAGTCTCGTTGATTGTAATCCATTTAAACGAAATTAACAACTGTTTGTGCCTGGATATGTCAAACTAGAACTAATTTGAATGGAACTTAAATTTTTGTAGTCGGGTGCTTTACAAGGAGTATTTTAGTTCTTTCAATTACTAGACTCATTTGGAAAGGGTTAGTTTAGGTATTTTGCCACTTGTTTAGGAAAATAGGTTGCAGGTCCGAAACCCGCCCCGCTTAATTCTCTTTTGGCAGCCGTAATGTATCAATACTGCACCGAACGTTGCCGGTCGCATAAAAAACACGTATACATGTTGCTGAATGGTAACAGCAGTTGGGCTGTAACTGCACTTTAGTTTTTGATCAATCCTAAAGCTTCAATAGAGTGCTACGAAATTAGGTACTGTGTTTATATGACAATAATCAACCTTTTCAGACTTAAATTCTTGTACATTTAGTCGAAAAAAACCTATAGAGCGAAGAATTTTCTCTTCAATTAGTCTCTTATCATGGCTATATATATATATATATATATATATATATATATATATATATATATAAGTTCGCAACAGTTAGATAGTACCTGTCCAGTAGTTGTATTATGCAATAAGTATATGATGTCAACTTGATTGTCAAATACTACTGAGTAGTCGAAACAAAAAATTTCTAATAAAAGTAATTGTCCGAAAAATCGTACAGTTGCTACATTGCATAATTACGTAACGCAACTACTCGGTCAGTATAATTTTATTGTAAATCATTCATATATATTAGTGTAGATCCATGATGGGAAATTAATTGAATATGAGTTTTACTCTTTCTATTCGTTCTTTTTACTGAATTTTAAGATGGGGATCCTCACCACTCTCGTACTTTGTTACTTGTTTGTCTACAATTGGTTTTAATTCGTTTCAAAACTTGCTTCCATTGCTTTTAAGGTACATTTTGATCTGTAGATTGGAAACGTAATAAGCCGAGATGTTAGAGTGTGACACATTATACTTTTTAGTCTACGTCAGTTGCGTACCTAATCTGGTTAAACACTTAGAGCAGTATAATTTACGTGGAAAAGTATGTTTCACTTCAGTGTTATTTGCTATATTTTTCATTCTGCTTCAGTTTGGGCACCTGGGCAGTATCACAGCCCTCAAGCAAATCGAATGAGATTTGTGAGGCGCATATTTATCTGGTGCTTCCTTGTACCAATATTTATGTGTTTAAATAAAATAAAAATAACTGCCACAGCCACACTTGATACTAAAAAACCACAGCAAAATACGAATTCTTCACAATATGAAAAACCAGTGTGCTTCACGTGGACACGTCATAAAGGTTTGTTCAGCGATAGGATAAGCAGGATGGGGTTCCAGGACTTGATGGCTTAGGTGATAGATTGTACACTCTATATAACTAGCTTCAGAAGATCACATGGCTTATTGCATACGCTCTTGTTCTGTATCACTTTCATTTGTCTTTCCCTGACTTTTATTCATTTATCATTCGCTGATATTGTCGTTGCTGTGATTTTCTCTTGCTGATCTCAACTGAAACAGTTAACAGTAGTCTACATTTCCACTGTGATTATTATTGTTTCTGCTTACAAAACTTGCTACACCCGAATATCTTTTCATTTTCTTCACCCAGTCGAGAAATATTTCGTAAATAGTAGCACTATGTGATAATTTTGAACATGTGAGTGGAGGTCAGCACAACTCAGTGGTCAAGTACATTCTTCGTACTCAACCCAGGATCACACTCCATGAGCTACCCAAAACAGAGTAGATAAGGCGAGTTTCTAACCTCAAACCAACTACTTCAAAGGTCGACTGCTCACGCTACTGAATACCAACCTAACGTTTTCAAAATTTAGTCATTGAAATTTCATAATCAAATTTAAGAGATCACCAGTTGTTTTCTTTATGCGATAATTAATCTCTGACTTATATTCTCGATTAGGTATGTGAACTCGACATTATATTCCATTTTGAAAAGGCATACTACGTATTAGATGAGTTTATGTTAGGAGGAGAAGTTCAGGAGACTGGCAAAGAAAGCGCTTTAAACGACATTGACATGCAAGATTTAATTCAAGAGGTAAGTTAATTTTCAATCTCATATTTGCATATTGTATTCCTCATTGTACTTTACTTGTTTTATTACCCTTATTATCAATAAATGTTTATCTTAATATTATTTAAAGGAAGAGGCACCTCAAGGATTTTTCGAAGAACAAGGTATTTTATTCTTTGTTTACTGCATGAGGAAATGGAACGTTTATCTGCATGTAAACGCACACTTTGTCTAAAAACCACTTCTGTGTACATTTAGTTTAGTAGCTTCAATGGTTTCAATTTATCTTCTGTTTTTCTTATCCTATTTGGTACAAGATCAAAGTCGTCAAACATGATTATGTAATTCGTTGTTTAATAAGTGTTTAACTCCCTTTCCAATCCACAAAGACTTATAAAAATAATGAAATAATATTTTAATAAATCATCGTACATGAGTTCTGGGTTGCATTTTCCTCGTCTTTGGATATGCGTCCCCTCTAGCTACCCCTCCTTTCCATAATAAAAGGACGTGTTAGAAAAACTGAATCTTAAAGGTGACGCATCGTAGCTCATTCCACGATTTTCTAATCCAAAAACTAGAGTTCGGAGTATACAGATCGAATCCACAAAGTACTACTCACAACCCAAGATAAAGATCAGTTATACTCATTTTAAATAAGTTTATTTTTATGGAACGAAGAGTAATCCTCTTAACAAGCTCTTACTAGGTGCTGTAACTATATATCTAAAGTAATAGTGAACGATATATTGTCGGTAATAGATTTCGTGAATTTAAGATTGTTTGTAACTCAGTCAGTCAGTCACAACGTGGAACTTCGTACAAACGTACATCATTTAGAGTCGCCATATCACATTGGCACAGAGATACAATTGTCGATTCCAATCCCATAGTGGTAGGAGTAGAAAGAGTATAAGCATTATGTGAAAGATCAAGGTTTAAAGATGTTATTGAAGGAGTATAATACAGTGAAATAAATTTGGAAAGAGAAAAAAGAAAGGAACATGAAGAATTCAGAAGATTAGAATTTGGGAGAACACAGAGAGTGGATGCACCTTCGCCATTGCAAACGACTTTGAGCCATGTCATTCAAGGTCTCTAACCATCGGTTGCTATCATCTCGCGAATCCCAACCGGGTAATCTACACCTATCAACATGGCTCAGTCCACTTGTCAGTGACTTCATGGATGTGTGCCATGTTTTGGTCTGGTCGCCCCTAGCTTTCTTCCAATCTACTCCTACACCATAAAACATCGCAGGCGTGTGTAATTGCCGAAATGAGTAACTTGCAGTTTATATGTGAATCTGGTTTTTGTCAAATGAAACTTCAAAAATTATATATATATATATATATATATATTGCAGTAGTTTTCAGGATTTAGAAAATGTGGAGCCTGAAGAATTTAAACGAATTACTTTTGACATTGTAGATTTTTAAAAATGACTGATTAATGTTAGCATCATATTTCGTCTAAACCAGGTAGGCCCAGATAAAACTGTTGATGCCTTTGTTTAGCTAGGTTTGAAGATGTTCATGAACATGGAAAAGTAAATTACTAAAACATCTACCAATCTTATTTGCTCCCTAGAACTAGTGAAACTCATGGATACGAAAAAAGGTGGCTAGTACATGAGCCTTATTTTTCGTTCTTGACATCATCATCGGATCCGACCAAAGTATTATTTGTAGTTTACCAGCTGCTACGTTTTCCTCTGTGTAGTATTCCATTAACTTCACTCTACTTTTGTCAAATTAGAACATGAATTAGGTGGAAACTATATATTCCGACAAACTGGAGTAATAAAAGATCTAGTGGTGAAAAGAGATTGTATACGGTTTATGGGGAATCTTCTAGTGTGTTCTCGTTTCATCCATCAGGACTGACTAGTATAAAATGGACTTATCAGTGTAATATGATTTGGGCCTGACCTCAGAGTGTACTAGCTAGATTTCTTCTCTTTTTATCTCCTTTTTACTCTTAGATGTCATTTTTACATGGTATTATTGATTTTAATCCTTTGATATTCGTCTTTCTACGGTGATATTGGGTGCAGCAACATCAACCAATATATATTTGTAGCCGGTCCTACACTGCATATATTCATTTTTTTGACTTTTTGAAGTCACTGGTGTTTATCCTAACTTGTCACAAACAACTCGTTTTTATCTATTTCGTCTATATTCTAAGCTTAATGACAAAAATATTGATATCGTACTCAAAATCGTATATCCGGTTATGTTAAACCAATATATTTGTTCACTGTTATTATAAGTATTGATAATTTCATGTTTTAAGGATTTCATTTTTCTGTTGTCCGCGTATGGAAACTCGGCTCAACTTACAATGATTAGTATGTTGTTTAAAAAAGTATTAGATATTAATATCAGATTGTAATCTTCCTATCTTGTCTTCATATATAGAACATGCTCTTATAAGTCCCTTATCATTGATTTCCTGTAAGAAGATTAATAAAATTTTAGAGATTAGTCGCCCCATCATGAGGCACGTTTCAAAGGGTATAGTTATACTGTGTCTGTCTATGTTGTACAATTCCTATTTAGTTTTTGCTTTTATACGTGCCTTTATCACAAGCTTTGTAGCACCTACATATATATGGCTGTTTCATTGTGTATTTGAATTACAACCTATGTTATTTTTTCCTTTGTTTGTCCATGTAAATGGTGTTGGTATATTTTTTGTTGACTGTGTATATTTTTTTCCTCATTGTTTATTACCGTTTACTCACTGTAAATGCTGTGCACGCTCATGCGTCATACTATATTAAATAATCTTGATCAATAGATTGTCAATTAGTTACTTAAATTTGATGTATATATGTGCTGGTACTACCCCGCTACTTATACCAGTATATGCAGGGTGAAGTTCGCGTTCCGAACTCAATTATTGAAAGTCTAGTGTTTCAAGCATTTCACTCTTCGCCGTATAAGATGTTAATCCAACCCTACGATTGTCACTTTTCCCACGAATAGCTTGGCGTCAAAATGCTAGACTAGCGATTAAAACTCAGGTAACATTAATTGTTGATGTTATTCTTGTGTAATGCAAGATTACAAGAAAAATATCAGTTCACAATTCATTGATAACTATATTCGACCAAATAATATTAAATCTCGTTGAATGTTCAATCCATTCGTTTTATTTCTCTGAAACTTTTTTCTCATCCATAGGAGGAGTGTAAAACCAAAGAAGAACAAGCTGATATAAGTGTAGTCGATGTTTCTGGATTTTAAAATCATTCCTGTATCTTTCAAAGATAATAAATTACTTATTTGACTTGTGTATACATTTATTTCAAGATAGGCATGCGGTGTGTTCGTAAGTAAATTGTGCAAAGTACTCGGAAAGAATTTATTCCTTGCGGACCTTTTTATTTTATCTCTGCTCACTTTTCAGTTGTTTTGATTAATTTTCAAACGCAAATTTTACCCTTTCTCAGCAAATTTGTATACATTTAAGTTAGTTCTTTCTGTTGATCCCTTTTATTAAATTATCAGTTAACTTTCTTTAAAATAATTTCCCCACATATGCCTTTCATTAAAAAAAAGAAGGCTGCTCAAATCAATTTTGCATATCACTGTTTTTTCAAGAAAATATTACTATTACCTCTGATATTACAATTTACTTTCTGTGGTGGTTTTGTATATTTGATCAACATTCCAAGTAAAATTAATCATTTATTTTGTATTATTAGCTCTGTTTTGTAATGGTGATAATTTTTGTTTTTAAATAGTTTCATTGTATCGTTTTTGTGACATTTACTTCAATGAAAACGGTTCTTTTCTTTCATTTTTTAAATACGCATTTTATATAATGTTTGTATTTTTCAGCGTCATTGTTTTAACTCTCCTCTGTTCAATGTGTGTGACTGCACAAAGCCTATGGTGATAATTAGTATACATTTGGTAGTAGACATGAATAATTATATTACTGACTAGACTAACCTTAAAGTTCACATTGGTACATTGTCTTTTATAGTGTTTACTTGATGTTGCCATGTGATTAAATGTACTGAAAGTATAGTATTTGTATACACTGGTCTGGCTAACAACCACATTTATGAATTCGTACGCACTTCACTGACCTGATATATTCCTTCAAAACGTGCAGGATGATTTACAGACCTTAAAACTCAGTATTAAAGTAGAAAAAATAATTTGAACCGAAGCTTTTATTCAGGTTAAATTAACATAACAGCTTTTGTTTATGTTAGAATATTTGTTGAAGGTTTTAATGATCTAAAACGGAAGAGCCAGTGACACTTAAAAGAAACGCAGAAATCGATGTCAACAAAATCTTAGGTTACTGTTGTATTATGATAAAGTTGGTATTATTCGTTTTGTTCTCCAAACTTTTTAGAGGTGTATCCATGTTATTCGGCACTTGTCTTCTAGAAATCTTCAAGAATGACAACTTTTGTTTCTTTCTTGACTTTATATTGATTATCACTGACATGATTTTAAAACGAAATTCTAGTGGTCGATTTTCTCAAGTAGTATAATTGATTCTACCACTCTCTTGAAAAAACAACTTGGTAGTACTTGATGAGTAATCCGTTACCCTACCAACTGTTATCTCAGACACACCTTTGACTACTCTGAATTGCTATCCAGTCATTAGAGTGTGAGAATCCTAATACTCACATCAATGAAGATTGTACAAGCAAGGGAATTTAGAGTAATAAACAAGAATAGTATGTACTTATCTGTATTTAAGTCTCTTAACGGAGCTAAAATTATCAAAATAAATTTGTAAACTATCAACCTTACATACTAACGAGGTACGGCAACTTGAGCCGATGCATATGTGTGCCTGGTTCTACGTTGTAGCTGACTGACTTTTTGATAATTGGAAGGTAGTTTAATACCTGGATAGATTTTCATGTTTTACAATTGATTTTTCTAGCAAATTCATAACTTTTCGAGCTTATTTATTTATTGCAGTAGGTTAATTTTTATTTGTAATACGATTAATTCTGTGGAATTTATCATCAGATAAAGGAGTCTTAGTTTACGTTCCAAAAATCTGAAAGGGTATAAAATTGTTATCACCAACATGCAGAAGCTTCTGTGATACTTCAATGGCGTACCGCTATAAACGAGTATACATCATAAAATTCAGATCGATAGATTCTGTAAGAAAGTGATATTTGCAGAAAAATCCACAGTGATCGCGGGTCGCTAGCAAGATGTTATTTTCAAGTTCTGTACTAGCCCATAACTTCTTAATGCTCTTAAACACTTAGCGGTCTTTTAGATGATGTGGAATTTTTGGTGAAATCTATCATCAATACTCTAAAATCAATCCATCAGAATGAACACTACAGTTCTTCAAAATTCCTACTGAATTTCAGTATTTTATCTCGGGTGGATTTTGTTAAGAGAAATTGTCTTTAGGCAAAGTATCTTGCTCCAGTTTGCTCTTAATTTTCATATAATAGATATATGACTTTTAGTTAGTAGTATGTTATCAACGTTCTTTAATTTGTATTTACTTTGGGATTTGGCTATTTGTTGTTGATCCTGAATTAGTTTAATCAAGTGAGTATTAGAGATGTGTGGAGGACAGTCACTTCCCGGTTTCCCTCACTATAGAAAAATACTTGGGAAGGAAACTGAACTAGTAGAGGTCTTGGCGACCACAGAATCCACGGGCTTTTTGCGGGTTCTTGATTTGTTAGCTCCCTACTTTAAAAGCCTTAACACCAGAAACGAAAATCCATGAGACAAGGTATGCTATTTTTAGGGCCACCTTTACTAACCCCTTCCGTTGTAGGAAGGCAGTTACTGGTTGTCTTAGAGGAACGCCTTACTACCGTCATAGCTCAGTGCAGCTACCAATGCGACTTCACCCTCGGATCTTAAGGCGTTGCTTTTGCCTTACTTTCCTCCTACCAACTTGTTTACCATGATAAAATCGAAAGGATTGATGACCAAACCTGAACATTTGATCAAGGTACCAGCTATCATTGGGAATTCGTCTTGTCTAACACTACGGTGTTAGTTTATTTAATATGTACCAAGAACCATTCACCACCACCCTATTTTTAGGATGTCTGACAGCTTATCCACGAAACAACTTCGACTACTTTACTAATAAATTATTGTTAACACTGTAAGTTATGGTGGATTTCAGCATACAACTACTTTTTATTATTGGTCACCATAATAGTTAGCAATTCAACATAATTTCATTTTTCTCATTGGTATACTTTATTCTTTAGACTAGGTAGTTTCATACCGTCGTTTGCCCGCAAATGTCTGTTGGTGTATTCAAAATGATGATGAACATAATAAATTGTTGAACCCTCCTATTAACTTTACTGACAGCTAAGTAGGTTACAACGACATAATTGATTTATAAATCGTAGGGTGATTGAAGTATTTGAGAATACAATCTATCAACTGAACGGATACCGGAATCCCAACTGAATAGATTTCTGAAGGCACATAGAGAAAGAATGTAACCTGGAAATATACAGATGAGATTCTGTATGGAATACGTATATACTTTAAGAATAAGGTCTATTATGAATTTCTACAAAATTTAATAAAATCTATGTGCATGTAACTTATATACTTGATTCATAATTTAGCTTATCTGGACATTCATAAACTAATAAAAAGTTATAATATTCATAAGACCGTTCTATGTGTTGCTCATTTTCAGCCAAGTAGTATAGTTCTACTGACTGTCGAACATGTTACAAGATACTAAGATTTATTTTAACTAGTTTACAGTTTTGAATAGGTCGAAACCAATGGTATTCGAATGTTGTTCGAGTCCATTTTTTTCTATGGGTACCATTGGTACATAGAAATGGATTTATTCCTAACTAAAATAATATTTCAGTATTATCATAAACTTTTCAGTAGTTTAATCTGTTCACTCAGAGATGTTGAATGCTTTCCACAATACAGTTGCAAACATCTTCATTTCCATAACACAGAAAAATAGTGTTATCCACCATTTAAATACATGTGTTGTTAGCAACACCATAATTTATTTAGTGAAATTATCTTTTTTCAGGGTCATTCTTTTACTGCATCTGTTTTTATAGTCATTGGTTAGATATTTTGTTTAAATATGATAATTGAACCTAATTGTAATGAACACGTCTTCACAACCTTTTAATCAAGTAGCTTTAGATTAATTTGGGTGAGATAAGATCAATCCATAAAGAACGTAGAATGAGTTCCAGTAAATTTCATTTTTGAAAAACATTATAGGCTTGCTACTCAATATTCATAATTAATTACAACTTATTTAATATAGTAACTATTTTTATGTTTGAGCAAAGATGGATAGTGGCTAACAGTGGAATGCAGGACGTGCGTTTCGTCCTATTTGCCACTATATTCCTAGTGTTTACGGTTTTTCTTCATAAATTAACAACACATATCCTTTTTCATCAACCTCTCAGTCCAAAGAAAACCGTTTATGAGTAATTTTGCTTATTTCTTTGTCAAACAAAGGTCACCCGGAATCAAAAAAGTGTTGTAGCCTTCCTCATTAACAGAACAATCTATTTCGTACAGACATTAGCCTTTCCGCCAATCGAATGCGCTAAGTTTTAGTTGATCCCAATTAACACTGCCGTGTATATTCTACTGTCTTAAACTTTTTGTATCGACAACCGAATCAGTCCTAACACTTTGTTATGTATAAGCATACTTTGCCGATGAATATGTACAATATATATTGACAATACAGACTTCTTGTAGAATCTTAGGCTAATATGTAAATAAGTAAACATCAACCTTCTATATGACAATAAGCAGATTTAGTTTTATACCGCTTTAAGTGAGAAAAACCATACAAAAATCACTATCAAAGAGTGTGTATCAATTTGTAAATGAAAATGTTAGAATTATTTTAATCTCTATTTCGTGAAGGATTGACCTATATAAGTCGGTGACAAACCCATTAAAATTCATCTCTAGAATATTCAAGGATAAATTATTCATTCTCTAGTTAGGTATTTTATCACTTCAAACGTGAATAAATTATTTACTTGAAATCGAATACTATGTTTTAGTTGTTTGGAGTAAGTCACTGGTTCAAAGATATCTGAACTACAAAGTAGTCTTTAAAAAATAACACAATAATACTGAATATCTCAGGATTAAACTGTCTCTTTAATATTGTTTAGATGATTTGAAAATAGAATCTCTGGAATAATTGCTAATATTCCCCTATTGAATGTTTTATAGCTGGATGATCGCTAAGTGGCGGCAGATAATTCACGTATGGGCATTGTAATCATATTTTCATCAGATAAGATGAAGGGACGAAAAAGACCCCACTTCCCAAATGCACTGTAAGATTTTCAAAAAAATGATTGAGATCCCTCGTTATTTCAAGTTATATGAGTTAGAATTTCGACTTATCTACTAAGATTCCTATAGTCTCACAAACCAGCTATTTTCCTCCTTATCACAACTTTAAAAGGTTACTCTTACGGTTGACAAAGACTGCAATCCATCCACATTCGAAACCTAGAACGAACGAGTAAATATGATAAACTTCGAATTATAAACTTATATAGACTTTCCTAAAGAATATAAATTTAATGTATGAATGAGAGGTTAGACTTTGTTGAATAACTAATTCTTTTCAGCTGGTAGATTAAAACACCATACTTAAATGAAACTGAACTAATAAAACAGACTTCTGTCGAATATTGCTAGAAAGATAAAGCCGTACTACTTTCAAGTTATTAAAATAGCTAAAACAATTTACTGTAAGTAGATGTCATTTGACTAATCACGTACAACAAACCGAGGTAAAGAAAATTTATACGAATATTCGTCAAAATGAGAACGAGTAGTTTGACAAAATTGGGCGCCAAGTATAGAGAAATCATTATATGTGAAAATTATATTCCGAATAACCTCAGATTGAAATTTAAATAATTCCAACGTTTCGTCCAGCTAACTTGTTTGGACTTCTTCAGGGTAATAATCAAAATCAATCAAATCTATACTATGTTAAACCAATCATATTTGGATGTTGAATTTAGTAAATAGGATAATATGAGTCAGTTAAATGTGAATCATGTGAAAAGTTCACGATGTGAAAATAAATGACCGAACGATTGTGTGTGTGTGCACGTATGTGTAAGACTGAGTTGTTAATATATAAGAACTCTCGTCTAAATTAGAGCGAATAGTTTCACAGTATTTGAGCGCCGAGTTGATGTAAGACATTAAATAGGAATAATATATATTTGTAAAATCTCAGCGAATGAATTTGTAGTAAATCCAACGTTTCGCCTGGCAATCTGGTCCAAGCTTTTTCAAAGAATTATAATCAAACATCAAAATAAAAGGGTCCGATTACTTGTTAATGAATATTTGCCAAATGGTTGCTAACTGAATACCATCCTTTCTGTTTAGGCTGTTCTTATTCACCTATATGCCCAGAGCTTCTGTTGTCAATCTTTCTTTATGAGTGTTAAAACCTTTCTGAAGTATTTCAGCCCCTTCAAAATTAATCCTGTGTCCCGTTTCTAACGCATGTAACGCTATCGCAGACTTATTCTCAAATTTCCTTATGTCCACTGAGGTTTCGGGAAAAATTTTCACTGTGTTTCTTCAACCTTAAATTCGATTGTCTGGATGTTTCTCCCACATTAATTGCATTTCAATCATGACAATTGATCTTATAGATATCTTATATACCCTATTTACTAAAATCAACATCCAAATATTATTGGATTAGCACAGTATAGATTTGATTGTTCAACGATATATATATTTCTCTGATGGTTTTGATTATTACCCTGAAGAAGTCCAGACAAGTTAGCTGGACAAAACGTTGAGATTATTTAAATCTCAATCGCTGAGATCATTTTATATAAAATGTCTCCCAAAGAAAATCTTCGCAGCAATTATAGTAGGATAATATCTTTATATTAGAGTACCCATTGACAACGCCTCCTACTGACTGTCGACTAAACTACTATTCAATTACTTAGTAAGCATTAGCGATAACTCATAACTTTTGGAGGAAAATCAACAGCAAAATAAGGTCTCGATTTAATAAAAAAAAGGGTAGTCATGCTTTAAGTAGTGTATGTGAACTACTTTAAGAATTTGACTGGTCAAAAGTCACAACACATCTATTTTCCACTGGATACTTATATCGAAATGTAAAATTTTCGAAAACTATTATTCCTCCTTAATACTTATCGCCCCAGATATAAAATGGGATCGAACTCAGTACATCCAAGCCCCAAAACACAATCTTACTCAACCAACTTAAAATTTATAACTTGTGGGGACTTTTCTTCAGGTGTACAAACTAAGACGATGAGACATGACAAAATCATAGAATCAATGATTTGAACTGCTTTGCTTACTACTATAACAAGGTAGTCTTCAAGATAATAAAGATTTGTACTTCATAAATTATTTATTTAATTAGATAGTTTGCAATATACAGCCTATCAACTTATACAAAAGTGTTATAAAATTTTCTATATTTTTAGAAAGAGAAACTGAATTTCTCGCAAATAAATTTGTTAAAATAAGGTTAAAAACTGACTATGAACTTGGTTATAACGATATTGTTAGACATACATATGATTTAGTGATTTACATTGATGCTGACTATTTACGAAGGCCAAATTTCCTAGTAGTAATATAAATTTACTCGAGATTATTGAAAAACCAGAACATCAGTTGTAGAAATAGTAGACTGTTAATGATTAGTAAAAACCCGCAAGTACACAGAGAAACGAGCAGGTGAGAGTGTAAAAAAGTTCAAACACATTTATGAGTGGAAATCATTAAACGGCATCACGAGTCAAGTCCTAACTTAGAGACCTGAAGGAAAACAGCAAAGAGGAAGACCAAAGAACATATTGCGTCGAGAATTGGAAGCAGAAATCGAAAGAATAAATAACAACTGGAAAGGATTGTCCAGGTCAGTGTGATGGAGAATCCTAGTGAGAGGCCTATGCTCCTCCACTAGGGGTAAAAGGCGTAAGTAAGTAATGAGCTATTTTACAAGTGTGTAGTTTCCAAAGTGCTCGTGAACATTCAATTGAATTACAGAATTATATTCGATGTAATAACAACGATAACATACACACAATATCAGTTCACATGTGTAAATCATAGTGTGAATTCACTAAATCATAATACGGTCAAAAAATCTATTCAAATTAAAAGTAATTCACTGCAATCCTTGTACAACGAACTCACGCAACTCAACATAAATGAAACACAAAAGCCATGATAAACGTAGCTTCTTTGGTTGGTATTAGGATGAAATATAACCTAATATTTTCCATGTTAAATAAAGCTTGCTAAGAAATCGGAAAATATGCTGTACGATTATTATTCATTTCTTCAATTATGATGATCAAGTGAAGCGAGAAAAAACAAGCACATACTGTACACCTTTTGATATTTACAAAAGAAATCAAACAGATAATACCGAAAGTATTTTTTCAGTCAAAAGCTTTGTATTTTCACTGGTGTAAATCTTTGATTGGAAGTCTCCCGTACGATCGCAAGCGACAGTTAAAGCGGGATCAAAAGATAGTCGACCTATTAAAA